AAAAGCCTTTGTGTTTACATCAATCCATGCTGAGGGGTGCTTTATATACTTGTAGTTGAAATTCTAATATGTTGAGGTGATAGATAACAGCAGTTACATGGTAACATTTCTGCTGGTGAATCACAATGAGATGTAAAGAAATACGCAACATGAGTCATAAATCTATCCCGTCATTTGCATCTGTTATACTAAAGACACTGTTCCCACCTTTCTCGCAGAAGATGGAGCTGGAAGCGGTTGGCCAGCTTCATCAGGTCGATGAGGAAGCCATCTTCTCCACTCAACTCCAGATCATCCGTGTACGCCCAGCGCAGCATTGCCATGGCAACCTCTGGTTTGGCATCTAGGAAGTCACAAGGGGAAGCACAGGAAAGAATCCAACAACAGGTTCAGTTTTGAAGGATTTGACACTGCTGCATACTGCATTTGAACAATAAGTAAAAAATGTAGACATCCTACTTTTCGAGTGTGGGTTGTAGGAAACAGAGAAGTCATTGTTACCTGAGAGGTCCAGTTCTGAGGTGGAGGCCATGTTGGCTAAGCTCCAGATTTCACTCCGAGCAGCCAGCACGAATTTATGAGCACTGAACCTCTGCTGTCCAATCTTCACCTTCAGATCACTAGGAGAAAAAAAACACTGATATTGTCATACTGACTTTACACAGCATCCATGTGAAATATGCAGTCATCAGCTACCATATCATTTGACGCATCACAGCTCATGTATTATGCAATGGTCTCAGTGAGGTCAGATCTGAGACTACAGTCTGGGCTCAAATCTCAGATGGATCATTCTGTAACTTCGTAATAACATGGTGCAATATAAAGAAATACAACTGCAATACAACGTCCAACCTTTACAGACCCAGAAGACATACTAAAACCCTTTCAGCCAGCTTTAATGCACTTAGAAGCTAAATCAAACATTCAAATCAAGTCAAAGCCACAGACAAACTTACATATTTCAATCACTGTGTGAATCTTATAAAAACTGTCAAGAGCTGAACAGAGATGTCTAGGTAATATTTCACCACAAAAACCAAAGGAAAAAAAAAGTTTTACATAGACAATAAAGCCTGTCTATAAAGAGGAAGCATCTGTAAACCATATATGGTAACAAGTATTGCAAGTATACATCACTTGACATTTATTATCAATGCTAATTTTTATTTTTTTTAATTATATTTTATTACAGTAAATGCAATTTTCCCCATATAGTGGAAAAAAATTGGTTTCATTATGATGACAAAATATCAAAATGCAAAAAAAAAAACAACAATGATAAAAATGTTTAATGACGTGCATCTTTTTTTCCCCCCCATTTCTTTTGCCTCTGAGGTTAAATATGACCTCATCTAACAATAAGTGACAGTTCACATCCAGTGCTCACCTGTACTGCTCTTGCTGATAAAGGTCAGCCACGATGGCCAGCAGGCGGCTGATGAAGTTGTCACTGGCCTGGGAGGTGGAGCCGGGGAGAGTGGCCTGGGCGGCCAACACGGAGCACCGCCTCTCCGTCTCCACCAGCTTCTGCTGCATCTTCACATACTCCTGCCTCAGCAGAGCAAGGTGCTTCTGCAATTTCTGCACCTCCTCTGCAGGTATAATGAAAATGATGGAGAGGTAAGGGGCAAGAAGGGGAGAGATGACAAGAAGTGGAACACAATGAATAAGCACATGGGACATAAGGAGAAAATTAGGGTAAATGGATAATAAACAGATAAAGTGAAAAGAAATGTGATGGGTAATGAAAAAGGGAAGTGGAAATGCCATGAAGAAGAGAAAGAGAGGGACAAAACACAGATTTCATATGAAAACGGCTGACACATGCCTTGTCCAAATACCCACACTTGCGGTCTTGGCCACTTGAGAGCGCGTGCGCGCGACAGGAAGTAAGTGTGCAAAGCTGTCCCAGGTCTTAAAAACACCAAAGCGCAGTGCCCTTAAAGGACACTAAATCCACACTGTCTCGAATACCGCTCCGGAGCGCTATTCGAGGCTTAGTGTATCCCATCATGCATCATGTTTTGGAAATAATTCGTGAGACTTTTTGCCGAGATCTCGCGAGAGGTCCCGGAAACCTTTCCAATGCAAGTTAAATATTAATAATTAGATATTACATATAATTTGGTAGAAAAACAGTGTTTTTATGTTTTATTGGTGCAAAGATGAGTAGTGGTGATATTTATTTTGTACAACATTTGCAACTGCTTTTTATCACTTAATTAGAAGCACCACAAATTAAAATTGTCATGTTATAGGGACTACTGAACAGACATTTAGAAATTGATTTTAAAATGCAAAGTATTTAAAATAAAAATAAAGCTATGTAAACACTTGCATTTTTACAACACTACAAGTGTGTCCCATCAGGTAAAGAAAAGTTCGACACACACTTGTGGTCTTCATGCTCACTTGAACACTTGGGCCAAATACAGGAAATACGTCACATAAGTGGTCAAGTGCAAAGACTGCAAGTGTGGGAATTTGGACAAGGCAACAGACAGACTTCCCAAGCACGCTCAAGGGAGGTGAAGTGGACCAACGCTATGTGAGGAAAACTGTCTTTCTGCTTTTTGAGAAGTAAAAACACTTTCAACATGGTCTAATTCATGAAGAACAAACACAAGCGTTCATATACACCCTCAGGATCCATATCATTCCACTCAAACCACAAAATAACAACTTTAAACTCGCCATTCTCAGTGTGGTAATTGCCTTGGATCTGTAACTAGAGGATTTCACCGCTTAACTTACATTCCAACACGGGCCGCTTCCTTCCTCTTTCCTTGAATTTATTTCTGTGTCTCTCTAGAATGCTGAGGTTACACTTTGCCATTGCACTACATAAGCTTAGGTGCTGAGAAAGCCGGTCTAATAATGTGTTACCATTTGGCATTTAGGAACATCTTTGAATGTTGCTAAAAACAGCAAGCAGCACCTGGTGTAAATGTACTAGGCCTATATGAAAGCTGTAATTTTTGCAAAAAGTCTACCCTAGTCATTGCAACCAATCAAACCTGTGTGCCTGCAAGCAAAGGCATGTTCTCAGTTTAATATGTGAGCCATTTGCCTTTAGCCTAGATTCAAGAATCCAGTGTCCTAAGAAATCAACAACTCAGAACCATCCAAATAGGCCCCATAAAGTATTTAAAAGCCAATCAGATGACAAGAAACCTTGTGAAGCAATAACCTGCTTGCAATACCAACAAGTAGGCTACATGAATTACACCTCATGAATTACACAATGAATTCAGATGAAGGATAAATCATTCTCGATTATCTGGAAATAGTGTAATTAGTATACATTAAATTGCTCTATTAATCTTTATTCAGAAAGAGGTACAGCCATAAAAATGTACCAAACATGGCTTCAGCCAATATGCTCGTCACTAACCTTACATGGTTGCATTATTATAATACAACTGCACTAGACTCTTATTATTAGCCACGCCGTCTTTTAAAAAGAAGCAAACAACATGACAGAAAGATTGTTAAAGTGTTCTTACGCTATTTGAAGAAGACGCCATTTAAACGTGTTATTATTTTACAGCATGTTGTGGAAAGATAAAGAAGGGAGATGTCACATATGAGCTGATAAAAGTAACGGTTGCAACCGTCTGCTGCGACTTCTTTATATGCAATCAAGATATGTGCAAATTATCCGTACATAACAACATTGAAGAGTTATACATGTATTTATTTTCTACTGTTATCATATATCAGTGTCATGTTATATATTGAAATATATGATCAAATATACAGTGCTATACATCGTCAGATTTAAAAACCAGCTTATACATTCAGGTGAATTTCTCATCTGAGACGACGAAGAACAGGATAAAAGACTAATAAAAGGGCAAATTCTAATGAAACAAAATTACTTGGAAGGCAAGCGCATAATCAGAATACATGACGACAATGTTTCTAAAATCAGCTGTTTCTATTTCAAAATCATAACGTTGGATGTTCTGCGACAAAAACAACTTTAGACATCTTATAGAAAAAGCATTTATCTTATATGTCTTTACACGAGAGCTCAAATCACCCGGCAAATTATTATTATTACCACCGCTCAGCCCACCACCTGACTTGCAACCAGCTAGCTGGAAAAAACAATCGAAGCAATAATGAGGCTCATTTCAGAGGTACGCAATATTTGTTGCCAACTGGCTGTGGTGAAATCAATTACATGCATTATTTGGTCTGTCCATCGTGTAAAGGTACAGCCGCTGCATGTGTTAAAACAGAAAGGACGTCAAAAACAAGAAAGACACCATTCTCATACCTTCCGCCATGTTGGATCCGTGGCTGGTCGCCTAATACCGCGAGAGACCGCGGGAGGAAGGTTTTGATTTGGGAGGAGTGAGTGTGCGTGTGTGGAAGCACCGAGCCAAAGATACACACATTACGTTTGTAAAGTGTATTATCAATGACAGTTTACATAATGTGCAAGTCTGTGTGCCAAATAAACTAACTGTACATGGGGTCTTTTAATATGCACTCTTATTTAAGTTTTATTTTGACCAAAAGCCAACGTGTTCCTCATGATTGTTCCAGAGACATTAAGGATAAGGAATTATACTGAGATAAATGCCCTCTTTGGCTCACATCTCCAAAACCCTTTCTAAAAATAGGGCCTAATCGGTTGTATAAAAGTCTCAGTACAACTACATGACACTTACACCACCGAGGGTGGCATCTGTTGCACATTCAAATGCACATTTTCTTAAATTCAGTTGGCTTTATGACAGCCAAGCAATATTGTCCTAGCCAATGTTGTTATTGTTTTATAAAACTATTAAAAACCTTTGTGAAATTGAAACTAATTGAGAAAAAAAAAAAAAAAAAAAAAAAAAGAGATAAATTACCTACAAGAAATTACAAATGTTGCCTTGGCATCTACCTCATAAATAAATTCTAGTACTAAAACTGCTATAACAAATAAAAATAAAGCTATACAGAACAAAAAAGTCTTAAAAACTACAGAACAGTAGATACACTTTTCAGCCAATGGTTTATGTAAAATTGTCATGTTTTGAGGAGAATAACCTTAATAAAAAGCACATACATTTGTAGTTACGCTGGTATTGATGAATTTCATATTTTCAAGTTTGTGACAACACTTTAAACACGGACAGCACACTCAAACAAGTATTGGAAAAAAATTATATTTTAGAAGAACTCACTAGAGGTGACAATTTCCATAACATGAAAAATATACATCGGTATTTTGTCTTTGTACATTAGGCAAAAGAACTGCAGTAGTCTGTCGGAGCCAGAATAAAATTAACCAGAGAATTAAAGATTGTGGGAGGAGAGAGACTGGGATACAGTCATGCGCACGCACACGCACACCTCTCTGCTCAATCGCCCTTAAACATACGCACTCACACACCTCATCTGAAATCCCAGAAACTGTTTGCAAGAAATCTACATTTAAAGCATGGCTAAGAAACCGATCAAAGAAACCACACAAAAGAGGTGTTAAGCCCCCCCCCCCCAAAAAAAAAACACAAGGGAGAATCTTTACTAGAAATCGCATACCAATATCCAATTTTAAGATGTCCACACATAATGTGGGCAAAGCAGTTATTGCTACACCAAAATAATTCAGAATGCTGGTACAAGGGTTATGAAAAAACCTCACATTCACACAAGCTTGACAGCATGTTGAGCAGTTCTTAAACATGTTCCTCCCTTTAGCTCCTGTTTGATGCAGGGCACATAACAAGCCAAGTGGTTTAAACTGGAGGCACTTTTGAAAACAAAAGAGAAATTAAAACATGCAGAAAAAAGAAAAATCACATCTGATGGGTTTCCTTGCCATTGCCTCCCTGCCTCAAATGGACGACAAAAGAGAAAAGATGAGAACCTGACGCTCAGAATGCAGTTATCCTTTCAGCCGAGATAAGAGCACTCCCCCGCCCGCCCGCCCCACCCACCCCATTTAAAACCAAATCAGAGAAGTACCTTCATGACCCCGAATTAATAAGAAAATGACCGTGCTTTACAGCTATTTTACCTGAAGTGTCCCGATTGAGAAAGCCTTCCATCATGACGAGCATGCTTTGAATCCTATCGATAGCTTACCCCTGCCTTCCCCAACCTAAAACTGGATCGAGTGAGAAATGCCAAAGCAGACTTTTGTTCAAACTGACAAGTGGGTACATCAGGGCAGGCCACTTGCACCTGTAACAGATCTGATGCACACTAGATGTGCGGCAGCCAGAGGGGGAGGCGAACTATAGTCTTCAAGAACTTTACATGATGTCACACTCTAACTACAGAACTGCTATTTTATTTGGTACCAAGTCTTGCTGGATGGACAGGAACAAGTTATTATATATTATCCGGTTTTTATGTCTGTGCTATGTACACATCTTTACAATCTCTTCCTGAAAAGTTGTATCAGTTCATAGACTTGGGGGGAAAAAAAAGAAGAAAAAAAAAAAAGAGCATAATTGTTTAGGTTTCTTTCTCTTTTTTTGTTGGCACTTGCTTGGCGTGTTCTGTCAGCATCTGTGATGGCCTTATGTTCTATTGCAGCCTATTAATGCCAGTCTGTTACTGCCAACATTCAATGAAAACCAGTTGGTAGAGTGCAAGAAAGTGCCATGTTGTTTCTCAACTGGAGACCTGTGAAAGACAAAAGAGATATTAGAGATATTATAACAAAATGTCAGAACATAAACCAAATGCCAGACTAACTATAGACCTTTAGATATGTAAAGCCTTTAAAACCTGAAGGCTAAAAAAGTGATACAGATCAGTAGTTTTTTTATTTATTTTTTCAATTTTAAACATACTACTTTTTTTTTTAACACTACCATGTTTGGGGCCAGCACAATTTTTTTTTTTTTAAGAAATTAATTTTCTTATTTAGCAAGGATATCCTATATAGATCAAAAGAAAGAACTGTTTTAATAAGAAATGTTCTTATTGTTAAATACCAGATCAGCATATTAGAATGATATTAAAATTATTTCTGAAGGAGACAGGACACTGAAGACTGGAATAATGGCTGATGAAAATTCTGCTTTGCCATAAATTACATTTAAAAATATAATGTTTTTACTGTATTTTCAATTAAATAAATGCAGCCTTGGTGAGAAAGAGACAACTTTTCCTACCAACCCCAAACTATATGCATACCATTTTAAAGGATACTGCCACTGTGTAAATAAGAGGCAAACAGTGCAAACATTTCATAAGCCCTGAGAGGTCTATAGGGTCTATAGCTTACCTAAGACAGTCTAAGCAGACAACAGAGACACTAATGTTACCTAACATCTTACAACTGAACCTCCATTTTGAACAAGCTTTGGGAACTTGTTATAACAGGTTAGCTCGCACGATTACTATGGCAGAACTCAGACTGACAAAAGCTCTATTCTGAGGGGATTAGCCCTGTATGGTAAGGTGAAGCAATTTAAAAATTGTCTTATTTTAATCCTTTACAAGTGTCAGTAATATTTTCCTGACTTTCTATAACTTTCACATGCAGATACATTTTAATGCATCATTTACAATTTCTTTAAAAATCAACATGGTAATAAAATCATGTAAAATCATGCAAATCAACATAAAAAGCCTGTAGATCTACTCTGTGACCACATCCAGTCTGAAGGTGGATAACTGCCACCATTCGTCAAGGATAAAAAAGATAACCCATTCAGCTAAGGGGTGGCTTTAAAGCCTGCAATAATGGGTCTTTGCATTTTCTGGCTCTGTGTTTGGGAGTTGTCTGTCAGTCAGTCAAGTTGGGGGAGAAGGAAAAAAACGGTCACAAGACTTTGGCAGTAAAATTAAACGGTAAAAGTCCACTTGCTTACCCTGAAAATAGTGAAGCTACAAGCTGCTAGATGAATATCACTCGAAGGCAGTCTCTTGGCTCTTTCTTACACAGCGGGCAACTTTTCTTTTGAATTCACCATGTCTGTCTTCCCTCCACTCTTTCTGAAATATTAAACAGATAAAAAAAAAAGTAATACACATGTAAAAATAAAGGTGAAATGTAACATCTCATTTATGAGGAAAGGTATAGTGAAAAGTACAGCATCACATTCAGCTAAAGTGCACACGATGGAACATGAAGCAAATTATTTATTAAATATCTACTGATAAACATCTATAGTCAGTCAAGTTCAGTAGGTTCAACAAGTTAGCATTAGACTTACTGCTGCATCAACATTGGCAGGGGAATCTCCATTGGGGTCAGCAAGCATTGAGATGACGCTAATCATGATGGTCTCTACGGTGTGAATGGGGAGCCAGCGCTCTTCTGGTTTTTCATAGCCGTATTTATCCTCCCCCGGCTCATGCAATATCGAAATACAAACATCACCATTTTTGTCAACTGCAAACAATACAGAGAGAAGACATGAGATTTGATGTCAGTTATTACGGAGCTTTACAATTAACCACTTTTGCGGTAGCATTTAATTTAATAGACCACTGAAAATCATAAATATGGTGGCTGATAGCATTAAATTACCACCAATAAATGGCTAACAATAACACACAAAATAGTTGCCGGGAATGTGCATAATTTTAAAGGTTTACACCATAATTTTATGAGGCTCAATTCACAATGTTAGATGTTCGTGTAAGTCCAAGCAAGCTGCATTCTCAATTAGCAAAAAAATTAGTGAGTGCAGCTTAAAGGGGTCATATGATGCGACTTCAATTTTCCTTTCTCTTTGGAGTGTTACAAGCTCTTGGTGCATATAGAAGATCTGTAAAGTTGCAAAGACTAAAGTCTCAAATCCAAAGAGATATTCTTTATAAAAGTTAAGAGTCAGCCACGCCTACCTAAAACGGCTCGTTCTAACACGCCCCCACATACCTACGTCACTATCTGGGAAGATTTGCATAGCGCCGCCCAAATGTTCACGCAAAGAAAGGCGTAACTTTTATTCTGGCTGTAGTATTGTTGCCGCCGCCGCCGCCATGTCGTGAAGGCGCTGTGTGCTTCGTTGTGAAAGCGAAACTACTTTGTTTGGTCTTCCAAAAGAAGACGATATCTGCTTCGTCATGCCTGGAGCTGATCCGTGCTGGTCGCTGAGGGAATACATCAACTTCGCGCTGTGGATCGCCGGATCGGCTTTCACCGTGGACGAAGCGGAGTCCAGCCCGGGGTCGTCACATGTGGTCGCCGCAGGCATCACAATATGGTAAGGGATGTAACATTTCCATCACACGCTTGAGGTATTCGGCCAATCACAATGCACTGGATAGCTGGCCAATCAGAGCACACCTCGCTTTTCAGAGCGATGAGCTTTGTAAAAATGTACGCGTTTCAGAAAGGCGGGGCATAGAGGAGAAACAATAACGTACAGTATGTGGAAAATAATGTGGTTTTTAACCTTAAACCGCATAAACATTTCATTACACCAAATACACAAAATAATGTTCTTTCTAGCAGCATCATATGACCCCTTTAAAGAATAATGGATGTTTAAATTCAGCGGAAATCTGCAAACAAAACAGCTTCAGCTGAAAGTTTTTATTTATTTTTTTTTTTTTACAAACATGGTTGATGAATACTGATCTGAAAAAAAAATAAAAATGTAAAGGACCAAGTGTGATGAACCCATACTTACCATTTGGATGCCATATTTCTGTTATGAACTTCATTTTAGGAGGCCTGAGAGGATAGTCTTTGGGAAACGTAAGATGGGCTTTAAAAACACCACCCTCACTATAAACAGAAAAAAAACATAGCAGGCTTAGTGTTATTAAGCAGTAATATTGTGGTGGTACAATCATTGGATGCAACGTATTAAAATGTTTTGCATATAACTATTGAAAGTGATTAAATTCAAATTCTGCCATTATTTACTCACTTTTTTCCAAGTAACACAAAAATTGAATTCTGAATAACTGCACTCATCCTTTAACTCATAGCTCATAACACTTATGTGTATTATGGAATTATGTGACATCGCATTTAATAAGAAAACAAAAACACTTACAAAAGTGTATCAGGAGGGCCGATTATTAGCACTTCCCATCTGTAGAGATCATTATCATCTATCAAACCGGCTGAGAAACCTTCCACAGGATTTTTATTCAGTTCTGTCAGGAAAATAGGACATGAAGATACTGATTAGCCATTTTATATGACAGAGGGAAAAACAAATGTGACATTTCAGGTCAAAATGGGGCATTTTTGGATTCACATGGGTGTTGACAGTACGCCCTACAACCACGGTTGCAAAATCAAAACGTTTTTTGCATCTGTGCAGCATTTCAGACAAGAAATAACCAATTTGCCTTTTTGTTATCAGATCATCTGAGCCTGAAGCCAAAGAACATTGGCCTATCAGTGCCTGTAGTCTCAGACGTTCTGTCTGAACATCTGTGTTCTACAAGAGAGAGCAAAACAAAATCACTGGACCACCTTGTTGACAAAAACAAGCTGACAGCTGGGTGATCCAGTCATATAGATGTGTCACTTTTATGAGCACATGAATCATTAAGACAGTCTTGTATTCTTACTAAGCGCCTCTACTCTGCAACACAACAGGACAAGACAGTCTTTTACTGCCGTTTGGCTCTTATTAAATAACTCAATTTAAACCACATTTACAACAAACCTAATCTCAATGCTAAAGCACTGATTCATGTTTTTACTGCAAAGTCGCACAATTACTCTAAAGAGCCTGTCACACCAATGACAATAACTATAAAGTTTTAGCAAACGTTGCAGTTCTATAAGAATAAATCCACATCACAACCACAATGACAGTGAAACAATATCACTGGAATCACTTTCAAAACAATTTTTCCAGCTGATGCATAATATAAACATTGACAACCAATCAGAATCAACCCCAATTTAAAGAGCTTGAGCATTTAAAGTGGCAGATGGCATAACTGCAGTGTGCACTTGTAATTAACAAAACATTATTGCGGACACTTGTATAGTTATCGTTCTTGGTGTGAACAGGCCTTCACTTTCGACTTACGAAGTTAAGATCTCACAAGTTGTGCCAACATTTTCCTGGCCCGTATCTTTACAATCCAGCATAAATGGATGTTGTGAGGCTTTTGTTCCCTCAGAGGGTTCGCTGAGTTTAGAACAAGGCCGATGAGTTCACCATGCTGGTCCTGCTGAAAGGAGACAACCAAAACAGCCCTGATCCCCTGAATCAGTCAATCAGCCACAAGGCCACCGCAGAACCAGACACCATGACAGGCCCGGGGTGCAGCTCACTCTGTTGACTCTTGGAAAGAAATAGGCGAGCTGCCTCCATGCATGTGTAAGATGAGTAATTTTGGGGGGGGTGCTTGAGCTGTCCATGCCGCAAAGAGACAGCTGTCATGAACTGGATCTAACATTTTTAAACATGGTCTGACATGTACATCAAGTTTAAACCAAGAAAACTCACGTAATCTGCTTAGTTTGACCCCATTGCAACTAATTCACTTCACTGGCTGCACTGCGCAAATGGGGCCCAGTGGAGAAATCCTCTGGCTTGAGCTGAGTAAAGCTGACACTCACGGATCATGTTGCTCAGCGTGTACTGGACAAAGAACGGGAGAAACAAACTAACAACGACTCTAATAACAGCATGTTAAGTATATCACCATAAACAAAGAATGAGGTTGGTGTTATACGCGTATGCACATGTATTACGACAGTACAGTTGGACTGGGGGTGTCTAGTTCTCGCTGTACCGGTGAGCTGGTGTTCAAACAGAAGCCATCAATTTGTTAGCTTAGCCTGTTAGCCAGCCTAGAAAAACAAAGGAATTTGATCACCCCGCTGCGGGGAAATGGCACACAATGTACGGCTTAGAAATCTCACCTTTGCGCCTTGTGATAACAATTTTGATTCTACGGACCATGATAAGACGGTGAACGAAAACGGGGCCAATGACAGAGATTCTCTGCGTTAACGAGACGATATACAGACTGCTGGTGCGCCTGTGTAAACTGCGTCCGGACACAGATGTCAAAACACTGGCTAGCCGCCTGCGAACGGCGCCGCCGGTGTGATACGGACGAAAATGCCCGACTTTTATACATTTACAACATCAAACTGAGTGAAATCAAAAGAATGCACGCGTATTGTTATTTTAATTATATCTTCACGGTTCACAGATTCATATTCAATCGTTAGACGTACCAAAAAATGCTTTTAAAAATAACAAAAGACGGCAGAGTTAGCCTTTAGCCGGGTATTTTAGCTGCTAACTCTCTAACGAATGCGTTCAGATAAATTCAGCGATCGTTAGCAGCTAAGCTAACGGCTAACACCTCCGTCTCGACTGCATTGGCAGGCTAAATGTTCACCGGTTTGTTAGCCTGGTCTTGCCAACAGCCTTTCAAAAATTACCTGCTAGCTGTCTCCTGAGTAACAGTGCTGACTGGGGCTCCGTCATGTTTTTATAAGTTATATTCTAGGTCGACAGTCGTTCACTTCGCTAAAGAAAAATATGTTTATTTGCTTGCGCGTCTTTCCGTTTCTGCTCTACTCCGTTTTGCTCAACATTCTGCTCCGATGTGCGCACGCGCTCTGCTGCTCTCCGTGAGGCCGCGAGGAGAGAGCGCTCCAGGGGTACTTTATGGGCGGAGGATTCGCGCATGTCTTAAACACATACACTTATTTATAACAAACAGTATGGCTTTGACTGCGGGATTATGTGTAAGCACTCCAGAATGTTGTTAAGTCAACAACAACATTGTTGACAAATTCACGCAGAAAACGATAAAAGGAAAATCATTAACTGTGTGCATATTTTTATATGCTCATTATAGCTTACTGCTGTAATTAGTTTATGTTTAGGCATTTTTTTTATTTGTTCTTAGTTTTTGCAAGTGCCAGTTTCAGTGAAATTTTTTTGATTTTATGTAAAGCGCAATGTCATTTAACCACTAGGTGACAGTAAATAATAAATCTAGTTTAAAGGGATAGTTCGCCCAAAAGTGAAAATTCTTTCATTATTTACTCTCCCTCAAGATATTCCACACCTGTGTGAGTTTCTTTTTTCTGTTGAACTCTTTTTCTGGTAACCAAACAGTTGATGGTCCCCATTGACTTCCATAGTATGGGGGAAAAAATAAAATTCTTCAAAATATCTTCTTTCGTGTTTAACAGAATAAATAAACGTATACAGGGTTGAAACAACTTGAGGGTGAATAAATTATGACAGGATTTAAATTTTGGGGTGAACTATCCGTTTAATATTTGAATACTAAATTTCTACAGGTATGATGTAATAAGTGACATTTACTACAAATTACAAGATTTTCTGGACAGTGACTGTTTGTTTCAGCAGGGTTTCAGCTCTATGTTGCTGAATTATTGATTGGCTGATATGTAATTTTACAAAACCTTTATTACAATGGTAACCCACATTGCTGAATGCATATACCACAACCTACTTTTTTACTTTATTCATGACATCAGTTAATCATTCATTGAAATCAGCAATACAGGAACGATTGGGTGGCAGGTCACTGTGCTCATTGTACACAAATGCATGCAATGACTCTCAGAATGTGGTCTAAGAGAATACGTAGGCCAGTATCCTGTTACATATGGTACAATGTATATACAGTGGCTTTGTTTTTTAGAGAAGTTGTCAGGCAGATTATTTCCCAAGAATGACCAAATTTTCTGGCAGCTTTGTTTGTCAGACCTTTGTCCTGGTGTTCAGAACATTACTGTGAAACATAATGCCAAAAGCCCCGGCAGATCTGGGTAACAGTGTGAAGCAGAAAGCATGAAGTGAGCATGAAGATGAAAATCTACTGGTCTGTGGTCTATTGCAAAACAAGGAGGAACAGCACTGCTGCCTGTGACCAGAGAAAAGGAGGCAGGGCTTGATTCTAACTTGATAACCCTGCAGTGTGCTGTATTCACAGAGGAATGCCTTTCTGTTTCTACAAGTGACATCTCAACAAACACAGCAAAAGAAAGAAAAAGGAAGAAAAAATAAAGAAAACATAGATTAGAGTGGCACTGGGCATTGGGGCACATCAACTAAAATGTAAGTAACTTTATGTTTAAATTATTGAGACTGTCAAGAGAAAATGATCTTCTAATGAAATGTTCAATCTTAATTACTGCACAAAAAAGTTTGAAAACTTAAATATACCATAACCTCGGTGTCTAAAAGACTGGTTGCATTCTAGATTCAAAGCTGAACAATCATATGGCATTGTCCTGTTGCAGTCATGCAGCTAATCATCACAACAGTGGCATTGTTGGCAGTCCGCTGAGGAACTTAGTCCTGACCCGAACTCATCTAATGATACCCATTTGGACGTATAGTCTGTTCAGACTACCACTAAAAGGAAGCTTAATCTATCTTTCTTCACAGACAATATAACTTCTTAATATAACACAATAAAACATATTAATATTACTTCAGGCTAAAGATGTTGGCCATAAAATAAATATATACAAGACGATCTTCCTGTGGTAAAAGTGCTGTTTCTGAAATGGCATCAGCTTGTGGGTTGTGAGAGTAACAAGACGGGTTGCTGAGTGCGACTAGTAAGATCACAACCAACTTTGAGATAACAACTTGCTGTCAACCTTCCATTCTCAAAAAGGTTATTCTCTTCTGTAATACAGAAACTAAGAGGTCATGAATAAAATGACAAGTAGCTCGCACCATATCCTCAGGAAATGTTGTGGCAGTCCCTTTAACACTGATGCTTCTTATAGTATTTTCACAGCATACAAGAAAAGAATACAATAGAAAATGGTGTAGAATCAGGTTAGGAATCTTTTTTCCCTCTGCATTTGGTTGTATATTTTAAATCATCACATAAAAGCTTCTGTTCACCATTATCCATTATAACTCTAAATCAAATTTTTCATCATGGCCTTGGTTTCCTGACCCATTTATTCAGGAAGTTTAATCACAGTTTTACTTTGCACACAAACGCACAAAATGGCCTATAAATCAGTCAAATTTAGTCAAACCAAAACTTAGTAGTGACAAATAAGCACAATGGCATCAGGACTTAAAATGGTAGCAAGCTAATAGGTTAGCAACACTGTTATCAAAGAAATAGCCTCACTGGGTAAGGCAAGCACAAACGTCTTCTAGACATCAACTTCAGACACTTGGTTCTACATAATTTGCATGAAATACAAGCTACGTTTTCCCAATCCAGCAAAACTAATTATTTGATAAAATTCTGCTGAGCATTCATCTCCATATAAGGCATTTGTCACTAGCTGTGTTCAGTGATTGTGATTACACTCCAGGCCTGTGCTTTTCCTAGTTGCTGTGGATACCTAAACATTGTCCAGTGTCCTGGAATCACATGAAAGCCATGTGAGGTTTATGCCAGAGTTTATAAAGCATTCATCAGTGCAAGAGGACTTGAAAATCACAATGTTTGGGCACTTTACCATCTGGGATGTGCTTACAAGTTATTGTTCTTTTTATAGAGGCAAAAAATTGATACAGTGGGCATCATGACCTCCAACCAACACAGACCAAGAAACCGCTCGAGCCTCCGCTCAAACATAACTGTACGTTATGGCTCCATGAGCTCAGAGCAACCAGACAGTGATGCATCCTCCATGCAGACAACCGTCATCTCTCAGAAACGCTCCTATATCGCAGTGGCAGTGCTCTGCTATATTAATCTCCTCAACTATATGGACCGTTATACTATAGCAGGTGAGCACACCATCATCAAAGTCATATCAAGTGGGATGGTTCACAGAAAAAGTCATTATAAAGAGAGACAGACGTTGCTCTGGTTTTATTCCAGGTGTGCTGCTTAGCATCCAGAATTACTTTGGAATCCCTGACAGCACATCTGGCCTCCTGCAGACAGGTATCAGTTTGAGTTTGTAGTACATTGCACTGACAGTACAGTAAAAAAAAGAAAAAAGAAAGAGAACATTGTACTACAGGATTTTACAAGAGTAATTCCTCGTTGGAGATGAACTAATAGGTCTTTTTCTGTAATTTTAGTAACATGCTCAGAATTACGTAAAACACAAATAAATTTGTATGTGTAAATGATGCAATTGTGTGTGTATATATATATACAGTATATACACACACACACATATATATATATATATATATTACTTTTGTTTCATCAAAGATGCATTAAATTTATCACAGAAGTGACAGTAAAAAATAAATGTTTTTCAAAAGTATCCTGGTAAAACGTTTCCACAATAAAATATTAAGCAGCACAACTGTTTTCAAAATTGGTGATAATAAGAAATGTTTCTTGAGCACCAGATCAGCATATTAGAATGAGTTCTAAAGGATCATGTGACACTGAATACTGGCGTAATGGCTGCTAAAAATTCAGCTTTGCCATAGGAATAAATTACATGTTAAAATATATTCAAATAGTAATCAGTTATTTTAAATAATGTAATAGTATTTCAAAATATTACTGATGACCTTGATGAGCATAAGAGACATCTTTCAAAAACATTTAAAAAAGCACCAAAACTTTGAACTGAAGTGCATCTTTGCCATCAACCATGTATTAACATATTCACAGTTTTTATCTGTAGCTTTATGTTCTTGGCACCAGTTTTTGGTTACCTCGGTGATCGCTATGACAGGAAGCTTATCATGATCGTTGGGCTGATTGTGTGGATCGTCACAACATTGGGCAGCTCTTTTGTCAAACAAACGGTAGAGTACTTTAAAGTATGGATTTACAGTTTAATCTTTGTAGTCTCACAATGTTAATGATATGTTTAAACTTGTACCTACACTTTTGACCAATATCTTTTTTTTTACTATCATATATTATATTATACTATATTTTATATAACAGTAAATTAAATTAAATTTAACAGTGTTAAAATTTTAAGAACAGAAATTAATTTTGTTTTAAGTTACATACAATATCTGTCTTTACTCTTACCACAGCACTTCTGGGTTCTGGTCTTGACGAGGGCCTTAGTTGGGACAGGAGAAGCCAGTTACTCCACCATAGCTCCTACTATCATTGGTGACTTGTTCACTGGCACTAAGAGAACACTCATGATCTCCTTCTTCTACATCTTCATACCAGTCGGAAGGTGAAGGCCTTACTGCAAGATACATATACAAACTTATTCAGACTTTTCACTGTTTGTATGACTCTGCTTCTCTGTGTTCCAGACAGACTGCGAGTCTGTGCTTTAGTGGTGGGGATTTTTCAGTGACTTTTTCTGCAGGTTATTTCGGCAAATGAATGTCATTGACTCGTTTATTTAAACCATTAATTCAAAAACTCTGATTCATTTAGGAACGAAACAAGCATTTCATTTACTCAGCTGATTTGTTCAAAATTCCGCTGCTCTGAGATGTGGAATGATAAATCTGTAGCTTTGTTTGGAACTAATTTCTTTGCCGTTTCAAAAATAGACAAAGTAAATGGCAAAAATGTGTCAGTGTAGGTTACTTAATATTAACCTCTTGTTTTTTGAACTGTTGTATAAGATCACAATTACAGCACTCTTGCTTGTGTGGTATTGTATACAATTTTTCCTACAATGACAAGACTTTTGTTGAAACTTTTTTACTCTTTCTGACTGTATGTGTTCCTTTTTCTCTTTATTCAGTGGTCTTGGATAT